GAAGTGACAGGAGTTATTTGATAGGATGGCTGGTGCAATTGTCCTGTGACAGACAGGTCTGCCCAGTCCCAGTATGCAAAGCAGGCTGAGGAAGTGGCCTGACATGTCATAGGGAGCTGGCACAAGCAGTACAATGTGGTGACAAATGGAGCTGTTTTGGCCAGGTCTTCGCTCCTCTGAATGAGCTGTAAGTGAACATGGAGCTGGTCCTTACTTTCCTCTTCCTCCTTACAGCAATCCTTATTGCAAGCTCTGGTTGCAAGGCACAGCTGCAAGACAAAAAAAGAATAAGCAGATTTGTGATATAAGACCAAAGACTCATTATTTTGAGAATCTTTTCTGAGCAGTACTTGCACAAAGGTACTGTTAATTTATAATATTTTGGGAAAAGACATTAGCTGGAGAGAAGTGCTGTCGGTAAATGTATTTTTAACTTGCAGTCTCAGTCCTTTAATTTTCAGCTCTATTGAGTACTTTCCCCAAATCCCTAGTTACATAGTTCAAAGAGATGGAGCTATTGGATCATTGTCTCTTTCCCGTCAAGGAGCCTACAAAATTCTTTCTAGAGCCTCTATTAAATAGCATGTTTTGGTGGTGCACTTTACAGTGTATGCGCACAGTACATGTGAATGTAATTGTTGAAAAATACATTTAAGACAGAAGTTCTTGCTGTGGTAGAAGAGTATCTTAGGTTGTAGGCAACATTTGATTTAGTTAGGTTTCCTGAGGAAAATTTTGACTTCTCTTCATCCTAGCAATCTAACTGTTCTTAAGGTTAGAAAAAAGATCTTGGCTACCAAGCAAATCCTCCTACCATCTTCTTGATCAGAGTTTCTTCAGCAGAGAAGGAACCAGAACCAATACAAATACCTGTGGAGTGGGGCCATTGGTCATTGATCAGCACTATTTTGCACAGGGCACGGTACAAATGTCCAGCAAGAATAATCTCTCCAAGGCTTTCACAAATACATAACAATAATACATAGAAAAATGTATCTGTTTTCTGAACCTATATTCCTACATTGTGTCTACAGACAAATGAAATGTGTCAGGCAGCCCTTGTAATAAGCAGTAAATCCATGCCAAATTCACAGAATTCTTTGTGTCTAATGAGAATTTTTTTTCATTTTTTTCCCCCTCTCAAATCCCTTAGTTGGGAAAATAGTCTTATAAGTTCAATTGGTTTATGTAAGATAAGATACAATACCAATCAAATGTAAAGCTGAAATGTCTAAAATCTTTTATGTAATGAATCCATGGAGAACTGTTATTGCTACCAGCATCAACTAATCATGAGCTCAAAGTGAGGCCTGAAGGGAGGTTCTCAGGCTAGTACTAAATCAGTCAGATTGGCAAAAATACTTCTAACTACATAGGCTATTGAAGGAAATTATTAAATTTGCAGTCATGGAACATTGGAGCTTTGATGGACACTTTATGAGCAAATTCCTGCGTTTACTAGGCTTCCAAATTTTCAGCAAGTTTAAATAGAGATGTTACATTGCAAAGGAAATCCTAAAATGCAGGAGTAATAAAATGGTTTTAATTTTTTATCATATGATTATAATTTCTTTTCCATTTCTTCTCCCTCCCTAAATAGCATAAGAAAAATCTTTTTTTCAGGTAACATTTTCCACAGATACAGCATCAAAAGATCAGATTCTGTATTAACTCCAGAAAAATTTTAGCATTGATGTTATTGCTGAAAAGTGACCCAAAGAAATGTGAAACAAAAATTTTTGTCTTGTGATGGCTTGTCTACCATGACAACGTATAAAGGAGATGAGAACAATTTTGTTTTTTCTTTTCAAAATGAAATATCTCTCTCTGAGAACACAGAGAAAAGATTGGCTATGGCCCCAGACTTTAAATGAGAAACAAGGATGATTAATCTCTTAAAAAAAAAAAAAAAAGACTCATTCTTTGAATAACGTTTGATTTTCAGTTAAAGAACTGTCGAATAAAAATCTAAGCACTTTCAACAATTTCAACACTATTTTGAAATTTTAACTAATCTCATGTTATGCTGGCTGTTATAATTGGATTGCCTCTTGAGTTTTCTAGGAAGAGCATAAGAGACAAGAGTAATTTTTCTGATATGGTAAAAGATATAACTGCCCTATCATGTGGATTCATCCTCTTGTCTGCCAGATTAGCTGTAAAAGCAAAAACTACTTTAGAAGAAAAAGCATTTTATAATATTTTGTACTTTCTACAAGTTTTCTTTGATGACAATATACATCTTCAGTAAATTCCTCATCATGTTGTGCTGGGCAACCATCTGCTTATCTGGTAAGCTATGATGAGTTTGGAATAATGCCACTTAATTCATTGGAATTTTATTTCAAATCATAAGGCAATCTTGATTTTTGTATGTATAGCACTTGATTTTTTACAAGTATGTTAGGGACTCATTTGATGATCTCTTTTTGTGTTTTACTGGATACATGCATGTGGCATTTTTATTAATGGTAGAATATATTATGAATTCTAGCATTACTTTAAATCAGCCCACTCCTCTGTTGTAAAGGCAAACATTAAAGGTCAGAAAATTCAGTAGTAGGTGGAGTCAGAAAGATCAAACTGATGCTAACAATGCACCTGGTGCCCTGAGAGTAGAACAGCAGTGTGGAGAGAAATGGTAGCGTGGGGCTTGGCAGCTTTGAGATCTCTGCTGGCGTCCAGTGATCTTTCAGTTTAGGACAATCTTGTCCCATCAGTGAGCTGCCAGATAGGCTATACATTTACAGAGGGTGGATTTGTTCTGAAGTGATGCCTGCACAGGGTCTTTGTTTTGTTGTTTTGGTTTTTCTTTAATCAATACAGTTCTGAGTAGGGATGCAATTAAGCCAGTCTAAGAATGCCTTTAGCAGTATGTTCTGCTTTCTAAATGAACGTGAATTATAGCCACATTATCATATGGTCTGTCTACTTCAAACTATGCAGTGTTCTTCAGCAAGCCTTGGAAACAATGTTAACTCCAGTTATCAGCTTCTATTGTTGCCTCAAACATCAGTTTTGGGGCTTTTAGAGTTGCACCCAGAATTTTGCATTCCATCTTACCTCAGAAAGGCAATCACCTATAGGTATTTGGGGAGTAGAGAGCAAATGTGCAAGGAAGAACAGGGCAAAAAAAAAAGAGGTCTGTTTTTATGGCCCCTGGCATTTCCTTCATCAGAGCTTCTGCTACACATCTCCATGGTGTAGCAGAACATTCTGAAGGAGTTGCAACAAGGAGCATTGCTCTTGCATTTGCTCCTTTCTAGACATTTCTCAGAACCCAAGCTTTTTAGACCTGTTTATGTAAAAGATGGATGTAAATACATTGCTGTTGGCTTCACAATCAGATTTTCTACTTACTTTTCCATACTTGAAAGGGGTGAAGATGCAAATAATTGCCTGAATCCACAAAAGAGCTATTTATACGTGGCTAACTTTGTGCCAAGTGCACTCCAAGAATATTAAGTGGGGTAAAATATTTAATCCCAACAAGGATTACATAAAGAAAATGCTTAGAGTATTTGAAACTCAAAGCAGCATGTCTATATCATGTACCTGATGCTTTTAAATATTGCGTTTTCTAAATGGTGGTCTAATCAGCATGTCTGCTTTGGACAGTTGTCTTTTTTTTACATTTGGCATGATACACCCAGTGAAAAAACAGTCTTCTTCTTCCTAGCAGCCTTAAAGATTTACCAGTGGGACAAGAAAACCAGATGAAAAGAGGTAGATGGAACAGTAAGAAGAAAATGTGGAAGGGCATCCTAGAACAAGGCATATTGTGTCCAATAGTTTTATTTTGCTTTGTTTATATAAGCTTTTCTAGTTCCAGATTCTGTTTTCAGAAAATTTCAATGCTTAATGTGATTATTTACAGATGATGTTTTATTTCATTTTACTCATTTTCTTTCTCTGGAAAGGTTTATAAGGGAAAGTGCTGCTGTACTCCTTTTGAAATCCTGCTTCTTCAGACTTACTTTCCTCTTCCCATCTTGATGGAAGTAGAAATGTATCTCACTGAATGTTACTTGAGTAGTAATTCATCTTTATACCTCTGAGCCCTCTTTCTGATAGCCACCACCTTTAGGGCCATTGTGAAACCTTTTTGAACTGATTATGTGATTCCAATCAGTTCTGCACTGAACTGTCCAGAGTGCCAGCTGATGGAGTAGCCATGGTTTAGAAGTCAATTCTCATGTCATTGACAGCAGCTACACACAGGCAGGCAGAGGCTGGTTTGGCCCTTCATGATGAATTTGGGTTACTTCTTATGTTTTTCTTTCAACTTTCATCTTTTTGTTTGAGACTGTACTTGTTCCCAGACAATTTTTATATTCAGTACAAGTTCTTGCTGCGATCATCTCACTCTGAGTGTCTCTTGCTGAATGAGACTTGAGTAACAGCTATATCTTCTTACACTTTAAATGTGAATTTCAGCCTTGGTTAAGCAAGAAATTAATTCTGACCCGCCTTCTGTACCAAACCTGCCAAATGAATGGCTATTAACTCTGGATTATTAAACCCCCAAAAGCTTTCCTGCAGCTTCTGGGAGCTGACCTGGAACTTCCTTTACAAAAGGGAATGAAAAGAAAATGAGAAGCGGCTGAGGATTTTTTTTGGCTTGTTAAATTATTTCTTTTAGCAGGAGGAGTGTGAGTAGAGGGGAATGCAATATGTAAATATCAGAATATAATTTCTTCTGGTTAATTTTTTATTTCCTCAGTTTTCTGGCAGAAGGATTGGCTACTGTCTCTCAGTCCATGGTATTTACTGTTGGCTTTCTTTGTCCTATTACTGGTAGGTTTTCACATTCTCCCTAAAGACAGGTTAGATGAACTGACAGTTTGCTGGTTGTGGGCAGTTTTCCCCTCAGGCTTGTGTTTAACACAGCAGACTTGTTTTCAGGGATTTTTTTTGTTTAGGTTTTTTTTTTTTTCCATGTCACTCTCTGCAACTGGAATAATTTTCCATGTATATTTTATTTTTCTAATGTTGGACAGATATTTAAGAGAGCAAACAAGCAAACCCTCCTCCAAAGAGAAGTGAACAGGGGTTCCACAGCCCCAAGACCTGCAGCTGGACATTCTTGCTTGCTGGGCTCAGCATCGCTATGGGCGTGAGCAACTTCTTCTCTTCCAACTGGGAGTTCTGGCTGTGTCCGACTGGAACCAACTCCTTGGCTCTTGTGAACTGATGGTCTGTCCTGCACGTTCTTTCCTTCTCCCAGTTTGCCTCTCCAGTATTGCAAGAATTGCTGTGCTATTCTGAGTGTAGCTGGAAATACTATTAATTTTGAGGGCAGAGTAGCCTACATCTAAGGTAGATGCATCCTCTACAGGCAGACTAATACTACAGTGAAATTTAAAAGATATCAAGATAATTGACTGATGCAATTAATTATAGACAGAAATGGGTAGAGACAAATAAAATAGATACTTAAAATCTGTCAAGCATGCTTAACACCAAGATTACTCAGCAAAGCAGAGTGGGGAATGTTTTGGGGTGTTTGAGCAGGGCTAATCTGTATTATCTAGTTGCTGTTCTATCTATTTGCTAAGTCTTTTACACAGAGATACTCACTTTTTATTTATTAAACATTTGGTTATCCCTACCTAATGCTGGTACACTGTAAAATCTTCTGTATACAAGGTGAGATGGCTGTTCTGATTGAAGGCCTGAAGATTGACTAAGCTGGAGCATTCTCAAGGCTTCAAGAAAGGTTTTTACTTGACGTGCTTTCCCACAGGAGTTCACATTTGCTGTTTTATCTCTGGGAGTGAGCTCAGTGACAGACACACACTGAGAGTCAGGGAGAAATGCCATGGGAGCTACTTAACAGCATTCAGATGCAGAGATGGCATTTGATTCCCAGCCTTCTTTGCTGCAGCCGCTTTATAAGAAATCTAAATCAGGAAACTGTACAGGGTATCAGGAAATCAGACCTCTGATCTGTGAGCTCGCACCATTAAAAAGCAGAGTCCTGCTTCTGAAACAATAAACAAATCTAAAGGTTGTTTTGGAATAGCTTCTGTTTATTTTGGTGGAGTCTGTGAAGTGGCAGAATTGCAGGTGTGTGGACACACCACCATGCGTGGTAGAATCATGAGAATTCTCTGACAAGGTGTTATCAGGTTGCCTGACATATTCATTGTAGCTGCTTCCATTTAATGTGGTATTTGCATTAGTCCAATTCCTACTTGTTGTTCAGGTAAAATGTTCTGGATGTGTTTAAAAGCAAGTGCCAGTCTTTTGAAACAGTTCCCAGTACCTGCGTTATAGACATGAAATATTCTTTTAGAGATAGCAGAGCTTGAAATATTTCTTTTGCATTTTAGTTTTTATGCATTCGTTTAAAATTATAAATATCTGGACATGAGTAATTGAAACTTGTCAGCAATCCTTTCTCTTTCCCTTTAGATACACAGAGCTTGAAAAATCTAAAACACCTTGTGAGTAGACACGCCAATGTTATGTTGAAACCTTGCCTCTCATTCAAGGGAAAGGTAATTTTTTTTTAATTCTTTTGGTGCAGGGAAATTAAGAAAGTCACCGAAAATAAACATAAAAGCAAATGACTAGATGGCAAAAGTGATAAAAATGTAAGCACTGCAGCTGTAAGATAATGCACTCCCTGATGTCAGAACTGTGAATTGTTGATGAAGTTTGAAGTAATTCCATTTTCCATAATATTTTTAAATTCTCATCTAACACAATTGATTTAAATGTGGAAACTTTGAAATATAAAGAATTAACCTCACCTTCCAGACAAGATGCTTAAGGTTAAAAGTAATAGAAACATAAATCTTGTGTAAGTCTTATTAGAAAAGAAATATCTGCACTATCTGAGTTAGATTTCTTTCAACCAAAACTCCTATTCTGAAATGCTACCATTCTGACAGTGTGACAAATTGCTGGAACAAATGCTAAATAGTTAAATGGACAAGTGATGGATGGCCTCATAAGCCTTGCAGGGCAGCCTGTGTAAGATACTAATTGGTTCTGTGGAACTGGTTTTGGTCAATAAATTCACTTGAGATTTTTTTTTTTGTATGTGTGTGTTAGATATCTTTAAAGAATGCAGTCTTGTAGGTGACAAACCACTTGCAATGTATTAGGCCACCAACAACTTAATTTTGTCTGCTCTACCATCTACCTTCTTTCAAGGATATAACCTACTAAAAATCTATTATTGATACACTGCTGTCTCTCAAATGCTTCTGAATTATGAGTTTATTTGGAAGCCTCCAGAATTTTCTGTTGCTAAAAAGTGTCCATGTTAAGTTTTGCACAGTGTTTGCAATTGCTTTTTTTTTTTTTTCCTTCCCCTGGAATAGATTCTGCCACTACTGCTCACTTTGAGCAATAGATTCTACTGCAGAGAGCCTAAATACTAGTGTACTCCCCTTGTAAAAAACATTGTCAAAGTGAGTAAAGGCAGTCAGCCTGGACTTTGAGACCTGTGTTAGGAAAGAGTTGAGCCACCAATCCTTGAACTGAACTTGGAGATAAGGAAGTAGCTGCAGAGGGGTTTTCATGGTTCTCACTTTGAGTTTAGGCTCCAGCGGCTCCTTATTCTATTGTTCTGGGCCTGGGTAGATCAGCTGAAGGGTTGAAAGAGCTCACCCTGTTGTTTCCCAGCGATGAGTTGGTTGGTTTTGGACAGCTCCCTCCCACAGCCTGGCTGCTGCAAACCCTGTGTGCTGCAAACTCCTGCTCTGCACAGCATTGCACAGCCCATCCTGGGACTTGCTGTCTTGACATCATCTCCAGGCATTGAAAAGACAAGCCCTGAAGCAATTGCCTTTCAAGTCCTTCAGTCCTTTGTTGAATTTGGACCTAAGTGATTTCAGTGGAAATAAGAGAAGTAGAGTTTGTTTTTGGTTTATTTTGTTTTGGGTTCTGTTTTGTTTCATTTTTTTTTTTCCTTCTTGACTTGGTTTATTTGTTAATTGAGTGGATTTTTTCTTCTTTCAAAATTTTCATTAGTGCTAAGTAGAATTTTTTTCCCATGGATGCTAAAAAGACCCCTAAGAGAACCAAAGCCTGCCTCAATAAGCGAGCCAGGGAAGGAGAAAGATTGAGATGGTTTCACAGTTTTTTTCCAGATAGCAATTTCCTGTTCTATAAAGTAGAATAGGTTAATTCTAAAAACATCAGAATTTAGAAGGCTAATCTTTGATATAAATGAATAATCTGAAATTAGAGTTTAAACAATGCTAAACTTAAACATACATTGTCTTTGTTTGCTTTGCATTCTTGCTTATGTTAATATATATGAGATGTTTCATAATTAAAGCCTATATTTCAACTGCTGTATATTTAAACCAAATTTGACTGCTTACACTTACTAGCTACCTTAGCAGCAAACAAGATGTTTCCAGAATGATCCATAAGTCTAACATATATAAATGTCAAGAAAACTTTCTGGCAATGAAAAAGCATGCAGCTTCTTTAACATTCAGTTATTTATTCAGTTATTTATTATTCAGTTCAGTGCAGTATAGTCAAGTCTTGTGGAATGCATATTTAACTGGAAGGCAAATGTATTACTTTGAGAGATTATGAAGACAAGGCTCCATAGGCTCCTTGTAAAGCTTTTGGGAGGAGGTAGATGTCATAAGGAGAACTTTCTGTTTGTGACATACAACCCAGGCCTGGCTCCCCAGTACAAGAAAGACATGATTTGTCATTGCGGAAAAGTACATTCAAGTCATTATATGACAATATATCTAATAGTTTTTTTCTTAAATCCTAATACATTATTGGATTTTATGACCAAACAACCCCCAAAACAAGCTAATGAAAGCTAATTTTGTATCAATTATTTGATGGTAGCTTCCTTGTGCAGGTTAGTTGAGTGAGGTATGCAACAAGCTGAACATATCTATTGTTGATCCAAACAAGCAAGAGCTGAATTAGAAGAGTTCAGAGCTGTCCTGTTAGGGAAGCATGCTTGATATGCAGCCATCTGAGAATCAAGGGATAACTACAGTCTGTTTTCTTACATTTGATCAGATTCTGTAGCTCCTCAGAAAAGGCTCACAGGTCCCTCTGGAGAGAATTTATGAGGAATATTTTAGTTTATTAATACAAAGGATTGTGACTATACACATAACAGAACAAACAAATGTTATGCGATATCTGAAACACTGATCTCTATTTATGTTTTGTGAGAACCCAAGGCTCACATAGGATATTGAGCAGTAACATTTAACTACTGAATTCACCAAAGATGATAGACTTGAAATTTTCTGTGTAACCAAAAATTTTTTTAAATCATTTAACCTTTTCTTGTTTAAAGTTAATTTTGAACTTAACTGTGTATGTTGTGTTCTGTAATACAGAAAATGCTGCTACAGGTAACCTATCAATCTGCAATGGTGCCTGTGTCAAGAAAAGAGACCTTGCAGCACAGAACACTCCAGTTAATGGTTACCAGGCCATAGATTAATTGTTGTGAAGGAGACTTTCAGGTTTAAATACCAACATTCTTTTGCTTGTAAATCATCTGGAAGTGAGGGTCTTATGGGTCATTTGGATATTGGAAATCTGTCCTTTGAATTCAGCTGATAAACTTAGATGTTGCAAGTGTAAAGTACATAATTTGGTATAAGGAACTTGTAAATACTGTGTGTCTAAAATCATGATGTGCATCCCAAAGGCTTTTGGTTCCTGTAGAAATCTCTTAATCACCTCAGAAAGGAAGGTAAACTGTACCTTAGGTACAGTTGGCAAGGAAACTGCTCTAAAAGCTTCTCTCATTTTCCAAAGTTTCCCAGCTAGACTTCAAAACTTAAGTGGTTGTAAATGAAGAGTTTACTTCCAAATAGCTTATGAAACAAACATGGAGGTGATGAGCTGATATGTTTGTCACACTTGTGTACTTAGATAGCCATGTGTTTATAAACAATTGTGTCACATCTGTGGGAGACACTGCAGCTGTTCATAACTTTGACTGTAAAAATCTGCTGACCTGCTGGATTCCTTAACAATTTCAAGTTATTGCTTAACCTTTCTGAAAGATTTTTTTTTTAAGTTTATGAAAGTATATTTTTTCAGCAAACCTGAGTGTGTGATGTTAGAAAAGAAAGTGAAGAGATTGAAAGAAAACTGCTGAATGTCAAACTCACAAGGACCTACTGAAATTCAGGACAAAATCCAAATTCAGGTAATTTCTTAAGTTACCATCTGTTCTGTTCACAAGTATCTTTTATATACTATAAATATACCATACTGTAACAGCTTCCCAGCTGTGAAGAACCCATTTGCCTGACTATTCTTGTAATTCCTCCATAAAACTTTGGTTTTGAAGTTGGCCATCTGCCTAGATGCCAGTGGAATAGGCATTAATAAAATATAGCACAAAGGATAAATTAAAGCATCTGCTAAAATTAATATGAAAAGGTTCTATTTGGCATAGCAGCATGTACGATAGCATGGAGAAATGGAGCAGTCTGAATTGGAAGTCATAATTTTGAGATATGGAGATAATGAAGGAGGCACTTGGGAGCTGGTCCAGCAAGTGCTTGCATTCATACAGTGTTCAACCATAAGCCTGTGAGTAACCCCTTTCTTGGCTTACTTGCACATAAACCCAACACTAAAAGTGTTATGTGACAGAAACCATTTTTACATCCTGCTACAGCTATAGAGTTATGGGAGACTGCTACTTTGTGGGTAGATAGGAAAAGGTGTTCAAATTCCTGTTTGTTAGTCAGTCACTTGAATTCTTCTACATTGTCTTGGACCTGTGTGCTCAATCCCTTAAATTGTCTGACTCAGGAAAAACAATCCTCACTTGATCAACTACATGGTCTTGTCCTCAGTAGCTGAAATAAAGCCAGGTTGCTTTTATATAATTTCTAGCATTAGAAATGAACAGCTCTGATTCAGCTTCTTCTGAGGCTTAGCTGGGGTTTTAAGGTTTGTAGCATGTTCCCTGAGCAGTGTTGCCAGCCCTGTATTGTTCATGTCCCCTGTGCTGTACTGTGTGCTTTTTAAACTGGGCACTGATTCTAGGTTTGTCTCCAGCATGTCTGTTTCATTACATAATTTTAGAAATGTTCTGTGATTATTGCCTAATCACTTTGCATTCATTATTTGATCTTCTGGAAGCAGGGATTAACCTTCTGTGGCATTTTTGATCTAGCTAGCCATGGAATCAGAATGGTTTCTGCTGCTGGTAACAGGCTTTGAATTTTGTGAAGTTTGCCTTCCTGGGGCAGCCCCCAATCTGTGCCATGGCCAGCTTGGTGTCACTGTCTCCAGCAGGGATTTCCATGGGACAAATGCTGTGTCCTGTGCAGCAGCAGAGGCTCTGTGACAAGCACTGCAGTGCCTTGGGTGCACTCGGCTGGTGGCGCCTTGCCAGGTCAGTGCCTGGGCAGCTGCACAGCCCTCAGCACAGAGCTGGGGCCGGGCAGGGCAGGGCACAGCAGCCCCTCTGCTGGGCTCTGCCAGCAGCTCATTTCACGTGGGGGCTGCTGCCAGGCCAGCCCCTGAAGCATCCTGCCCCGGAGCAGCGTTGTGACACTGGGGGAGAGGGCCCTGCTCATGCTTTGCTTTACTTGCTGGCTGCTCATCCTCAGACCTCTGGCTGTTCTTCTTATGAGGCTGTAAGGGAAAAGTATCTCAAGGGTTTCTCTGTGTGTATCAAATCTAAAAAGAATACATCATGCCTCTAATTATGAGCTGAAAGTGTCTTTTCATTTGCTTTTATCTCTGCATTTTCTTACTGGCTCCTTATCCCTTGATAACAAACTAGGTCCCTCTGGGATTAACAGAATATTTCATGTAGAAAACATCAGTTGTGTATATTTAGTTCTAATTCTAAATATTCAGAACTTAATCAGTTCTTTACAAAAGGCATCTGGGAACTTGGTGAATACTCTGCTTACACATTCGCAATTACAAGCCTGCCTTAGGTGCTATCCCATACGTAGGTACATGTGTACATACGTATACACACACACACATTTATTTTTTTTAATCCTTCCCTTTTCAGCAGCCTGCTTATGTACTTCATATCATCATGGTGAAAGGTTCGTAGAGAAATCTTGATAAAGAGCAAGGGTGGGGACAGACAGTGGAAAAAAAGAAGAAAAATCAATCCAAAACATTTAAAAAAACTGATCAAAGAAGCTGAAGACTCATATGTAAACCAGAAAAGACCACTGTGAAAATAAGCTGGTTTTTATAATTTTTTTATGCCATGTATACCTTTAAAAATTATTAGGAGAGTACTCAGGTGTGTGCAGGGAGTCTTTTACCTCAGATAGCATAACTTTTACTATCATTGTATATTGCAGTGGCACTCAATTCCACTGCACTAGTTAAGGGTCTGTGAGGAGTATTTCTGTTATAAATCTGGAAGATAATATCTCTGTCTTCTCATATTGCGTCATCCTGAAACCTGACAAGTTGTCAGTGGAGAGGCAATTATTTCTACCATAACATAGAGAATATAATATAAATTTTGAAGGTATGTAGAAAATATGAAATCCATGAAAATATATGGATTTAGGAGAAAGTGATGAGGTTGTTGGGATTCTTTGTTTTAGTTTACCCCCAACTATAAAATTTGCATGTTGAAACTTTAAAAGTGATCTTTTCCTTGCTGGTAGTTGACTATGATGGTTAACTGTGTTTTTCAGTTTTCAAGGGTGAGGTAGAGGGAAAGACACAGTTGAAACCTTAAGAAAAATGAGAGAAAAAAACCCCAAACAAGCCAGTGGGGCTGGCCATAAGATACTGTTCTATCCTGTGAAAGAGAGCTAATATTATTTCCAGTTTGTTGTTGGGTTTGAGAGCAGCTGGTGCTAGAGGAAGAGGCTGTGTTTCCCAGCAGTGACTCAGTGGATCTCAGGAGCAGCAGGGAGAGCAGAGTGGGTGTGAGCAGAGCCAGGAGCGGCTGGCAGGGCTGGGACACCAAGACTCCTTAGCAGGATGTAGCTCATTATTTTTGCCTTGCAAACTCCCCAAAAAGTGAACGTTTTGGAAAGGTAAGACAAAGACTAGGGAGCCAGGGGAGCAGAGATAATGTTTGGAGGGGCAAAAGGAATCTGTAAAGAAGAGTGAAGGTGCCCTTCATCTTACCTGATAATATGCCAGCTTAGAGCAGCACAATGCATCATCAGTGAAATGTATAGAAGTGGTTGTATGAACAGCATAACCAACTGAGAGTAAGTGAACTGCAAATTCAAAATTCAGATTACCCTGTATTTTAGGATGCTTGTTTGTGTGAAGAAAGCCAAGTGGCCTTGGGAAAGTTAGCAACTTATAGTTCCTTATTGTGAATTAGCTTCAGCAATGCTGATTATTGAAAATGGATGAAACAGTTTTCTTATTAAAAATCTTCAAGGTAAAAAAATTCTTTCTCTCTGCCTTGCTGTGAAATTGAATTTTAACCTTTCCTATCTGCTTCCATAAAAAATGGAGGAAATGAACCTGTATTATAGCCCAGCAGTGCACTTATTTGGAAAGATGTGGGAGTTTGATTCACATTACCATAGTGGAGGTATCTCATTTACTGGCTTGGAGCTACAGTGCTTTCTTCACAGACCTCTGCTGAGTGACTACAGCTAATTCTTAGGACATGGAAGAGCCAAGTTCCGTTTTCTGCTCTATTATTCTTTTGTCTCTTCTATGGCCTTATACACCTTGCCTTAACTTTTGACTTGGTCTCAGAAGTCCTGTTGTAATATTTTTGCTTAATGTTGGTCAATAAAACAGAAATTTGGATGAGAGTTGGAGACAGCAACTAAATTGTTCATGTCTTGTAAAACTGCAGAGGGCCCCACAGCTACTGACTGACATGGCAAGTAATTCCTAGTGTTCTAGTATTCTGTATACTTGCCCAATATATATTGCCATTTTTATAGTTTTCAGAGATACATTTACAATAGGTCAATCAGTATTTTTTTAGGACCCTAAATTGAAATTACAACTATAAGCATACAATTTAGAGAATTTTCAAAGGAATTTGTAAAATTTGTTTTCTTTCTTAAATCTGAAGAATTAAACAGAAACATGAATTAGTAAGGAAAAAAGTCTTCATTATTTATGGATAGAACCTTTATTTTTCACAGTCAGATATGACCTACAATTTGCATCATTATATTGCTGAGATGAGTGAGCAGTGACAGCAGACACCACACAGTCTGTGATGAGTGGATGGGAAGCAGAAGCAGTTTTGGGCTGACAGATTGCAGAGATGATGTGGTGAGGTCAGGATCATCCCTGCTGCACTTGCTTTTCTATCTGTACTCATCTTGAAATTGTGAAACCATTTTCTGTGGTTCCTCTACCTTGTTCCATCAGCACTATTTCCCCAAAGAAGAGTGGTCAACTGCTGAATAGAATGAGGGGACAAAGTGTGCAGTCATGAAGTCACGTCTCAGAGAGGCCACTGGGGTTTGGGGCACCTGGGGAAGGTGCACGAGGACGTGCATCCAAGGAGGTGCAGACACATTCAGGGGGTGATGAATATGGCAGCTGATACTTGTTTGCTTAACAGCTGGGACCTTCTTTGCTAGCTTCATCACCAGTGGAGAAGTGTTTCATACATGTGCCGTGTAGTATAAACACCAGATTGCCTCCCTGCCTGCCAAATTCCCAGGACATGGGTGCCTGAGAAGTTGCTCTGAGTGCACTGAGCAATCATGATGGCATTTGCCATGTTAGCATTTGTTCATGAGGCGTGAACACGCTGAAACAGGAGTCGTGCATTAACAGCTCAGGGTCACAGTGAGGTGGCCACTATTAGCGTGATCTCACACCCTGCAGAAACTTACACTTATCTCAATAGCACTTAAAAGAGTGCCCCTCATAATTAATGAGGCTGTTAACCTCCTCCTTGGAGGATGGCTGAGGGCCTCAGACTCCTCCTCATGACGCCAGCTAATAGGAAGGAAAGAGAAATAATGGCTAAAATTTGGATTTTATGGCTATTAAGAGTTTTTGTAGACTTGGCAGTTAAGCAGCTCATATCATGGTTTTGCTTCATGCTTCCCATTGATTAATTTCCTCCAATTCCCAGATCAGTAGACTATGGCCACTGAGATCTTCTGCTGCATAAACTGTTTTTGATTGACATTCTTTGTAATTAGCTCTTTAACCCCAGTGGTCTTCCAAGATTACCTCTTGCCATTCCTGTATTAGTTCCCAAAA